AGGAGGCGGCAACCTCCATCATTTGATGTTGGGGGACATGTGTTTCTCAAGGTAGCCCTACGACGGGGATTGAGGAGATTTGGGCAAAGCGGAAAACTGTCGCCGTGGTTTATAGGACCATTTGAGATCCTCGGGAAGGTTGGTGAGGTGGCCTATAAGCTAGTATTACCGCCATAGCTATCTGGGGTTCATGATGTCATTCATGTGTCGATGTTGAGAAAGTATGAGCCTGACCCTTCACATGTGGTAGATTGGATAGATCTTCAAGTGGAGGGTAATGTTTCTTATGATGAGAGACCTGTGGAGATATTGGAGTTGAGGGACTAGGTTTTACGGGGCAAGACTATCCCTTTGGTTAAGGTTCTTTGGAACCATCATGGGGTCGATAAGGCAACTTGGGAACGTAAGGCTAAAGTCCGTTCTAGGTATCTGGAGTTGTTTATTCATAGAGGTACATTTCTAAATTTCGGGACTAAATTTCTTTAAGGGGGGGGGGGGATGTAGAGATATAAAGAAAGTGAGGATAAATTTTTCAGTTTTGTCGGTAGGGCACTATTCATGCACCATTTGCCGATAGGGTATTACATATGCATTATTTATGTATAAGTCGTATTTAGGAGTATAATTTGAGTATGTCATAGAAGAAAAACATGCTTATAATGTTAAAATACACCTACAGTGCGAATTTGAGTCTAAAGGAAAATAGTTTTAAAAATTAGACAAAAAGGGTATTTCGGGTGGCCTAGGTGGGGCCGGCCAAACCCGCCCATTAGCGAAAATATATATTTTTAAATTTTTTTATTTAAAATAATTTTAAGAACTTTGGTTATAATAAAATGTCGAATTAAGGCGTTTGAGGACGAGTTATAGTGTAACGGGGTCTCGAATTTATCAAGGGCAAAATGGTCTTTTTGCACCTTTGCCCTCCATTATAAAGACAGGCCTTTTGTGTAAAAATATCAGTGTTTTTGGGCTGGGAAGGGTCAGTACACATTTTTGGAGGAAAATGAAAAAAAAATCGAGGTTCTTCAAGCTTCAAGCAACCAAAACTCAATCATAGACCAAGATTCTTGCAAGACTTCTTTCTAAGAAGTTGTTTCTCTCACAACAAAAACTATATTCTCACTGATCATTTTAATGTGTAAGAGTGTAAACTCAATTGATATTTGAGATGTCTTTATTTAATGAGTATCATATGTGTATATTGGGACAATTAGATGTATATGTTGAGAATAAGAGATGTATGCTTAATTTACATGGGTTGTGGCCATCGAGTGAGGGTGGATTGTGATATAATTATGCATATAAAATATTGTGAATATTAGGTGGAAAAAAAGCTTGAAAACAAAGGAGGTTATGTCAAAATTTTGTGTAAAATTAAAAGACTTGTTAAGTGTGTAAAACATCTTTTAAATAGGTGAGAAAGATGTCAAGATGGGGGGTTTAGAAACCTTGAAGAAATAGGCTAAAAAATGGAAGAAAAGTGACTTGAAAAACTTTGGGCAAACATGAGAAATGAATGAGAAATCAATTTATCTAACCTAATGACCTTTCATTTACTTTTTTTCTTTCATTTACTTTTTTTCTTCCTTTTCACTCATTCCCCTGGTTTGTGGAAATTTGGAGCGTGACACCTTGACTATCCTTAAACATCCAAATGTCAAAATTTACTAAGATTGATATTAAGCTTAATCTTCAAACTTGAAGAAGAGTGATGTAGAACTCACCATAAATTCACAGGGATATGAAGATCTTGGGAGGAGTCCTTGAAGATTGAGATAATTGAAGTTGAATTGTGAAGATTGATTTGCATCTAGTGAAGCTAATACTTAAGACCTTGTGGTGGTGATTACAAAGGACAAGATTAATGGAAAAATAAAACATCTAATCATAGATTTGAGTGAGGTATAAGTCTTTAACCTTGTAATTGACTTTGAGGAATAGTGGATTACGGTCTCATGATTTTTTCCAAATAGGTTTTCACACTGAATTGTTTTATATTGGGATTGTTGTTGATTTCTTTACTCTGCACATACTTGTAATTTCTTACACACCATGTATTTGATGATATATTTATTGGTTTGATTTATCATCATTGTGGCTGTTAAATCGTTGGAAGGACATTGGAGGAATAATGATAGTGGATTTGCTTTTGTGATTGATTGTTAAATTGTGCATTCTTGCATTCATCTCATCCAAAAAGGGTTTGTGCACTTGATTTGAGGGCTAATTGAACTAAAATTGACTAATCAATTAGTAATTGAGATAATTACGTCAAATTGGGCAAGCCTTATGTAACGAGTATAAAATACATATCCATCCCCGTTGGACTAATCTAAACCCCACTCCACGTATTAAATCGTGTCAGAGCGATCCAAACACACTATAATATTATATTTTTGTTATTTTATGCTATTAAGGTCTTGTTTACACACTTGGTCACAATTTCTTTTGAGTCAGTCTTACTATTCAAGATCTAGATTCTGGTACAACTCGACCCATTTGACACATAAATATTGTATTTTGATATGTCTGCCCATTTGACTTTAGAAGATTGGGGGTCATAGCCTTGAGGTTCTAAATTACAAATTTACAATGACGATGAAATTAGAATGAAAAAATTAAGAATAATTGTAAATATTTTTATTATAATTGATTTTAACATTAAGATTGGTCCTACTATTAAATGTTAGAATTAATCTTAAAACATAGAAATTGAAATAGCAATGTGTTGCAATCTCACTATATTATAATCAAATCATTTGATTTATACTACTATTGATTCTATATCAAAAATAATATTCTTCAAGCAATATTACATAGACCTAATTCGAAGGCTAATTTAATATAATTATTAAATAAAGTTGACTTTTAATTTGATAATTTTAGTCGAATCTCTAAATTAGTTTAAATAATAATTTTAATTTTTTTGGAGTTCCATAATATTAGCTATGATTTTTATTGGGACACTCCCGTCAGTTCAAGTAGCGAATAACCCAGGGGTAATACAGTAAAAACGTGGTCCAGGAGAAGTAATTAATGCCCACTTATAAGTCTAGGTTTTCCTCTCGCTCTCTCCCATTCTCTCTCTCTCTCTCTCATCGTCACAATTCTGTGGAGGAGAAGCACTTTCAGCTGCTATATAGATCAAAAAAAAAAAAAAAAAAAAAGCTGCGACATCTATCAGGTAAAACCTTGGTCAGGATTTTCCCATATAAGCTTACATAGATGCATATTTATATGTATTTTTTCTGTTCTTCAGTTCGATTTTCCAAGCTCCTACGTGACCTGATCTCGTAAATATTGTTGTCAGTCTCGTGAATTACTTGTGTAATTGTTTTTTTTTTTGCTTTGATATTGGGACTGATGGATCTGATTATTTGCCATTCTGTAGGTTTTTTCAATGGTAGTTTTTGATTAATGTTCGTGAAAAAATTTACAATGGTTTAGGGTATGTGGTTCTGTTAATATTTTGACATTTTGGTTACGTATGTATCATGTACACGTCTTTATAGGTGTATTGATTGAATCATGATTCCCTGATTCTAGTATTATGTATGTCTACAGTGTACATGCGCATGCGTGTTTGGAATCTTTGTTTGCGGATATGGATTCTCTGATTCGTTGTGAGTTTAACAAAAAGGGGAAATGATTATGGAAGCACTTTTTTATGTATGTGTGTACTTGTTTCAGTTCCATGGCAACTTATTGCATAGGAAAAACTGCAAAGTCGAATTTAATTTGAAACATGTGCTGTAGAAAATCCGAAGTTTGAAGAATATATGGGGGCTTTTGAAGTGTTGCTCAATTGATAGATTGCTGTGCATAACGGCGAGACAAGCTGTTCTTTCTATAAAAAATTGATTACTGGTTTTATTAGAAATTTCTGATATATTGATATACCCAAATATTCATCAATTCGGCCCTACACGAGAAAAGGCACGTGCCAAGAGGTGTTTGTGGGTTATAATTGCATAGTCAGTTACAGTGTTCTTTTAGGCAAAAGATGCATTGAGATACCAAAGCCTTTTGAGGTCTAGGCGTGAGGAGTTTCATTGAAATGAGGCGTATGTTTGCTTGGCAAATGCAACCAAAGGCAAGAGATTTGAAGAAATCTCGAGCAAATAGGACATATTTCTTCCTATCAAAAAAAAAAAAAGAACAAATTTCTTAAAATTATAGGCCAACTTTATAGTATTAAGAGCAAATTAAACCAAAAAGAAGAGGCTTATTTCTTAAGATTGATTTCAGTGAATTTAGAGCTAGTTTTACAAAAAAAAAAAGAAAATGAAAAATGGGAGAGAGAATGAGAGATCAGACAGAGATGTAGAGAGAGATTAATGAAAACCACAACACAAAGACGGAAACAAAAAACATAGATCAACGACCCAAGAAATACTTTATTCCTGGATGATAGAGATGGAAAACAACAAAACAAAGATCAATGAGTCAAAAAAGATATTTACACTTGGAGTTGAATGAGATTGAATTTGTGAAGTTCAAAGATGGGAGTTCAGGTCTAGAATAAGGTATGTATAGCTAGACCTCTCATATGGAGTTGTGCATATTCATTTTGAATTAAAAATATATCAATGATGGATAAAAATGCACACCTAATGCGTGTGGACTAAAGCGCGTGACATGTGTCTCAGACTCTCATGTGCCTAGGCTTATTGAGGTGCTACAAGTGGGCCCTGACTCACCTTAGGCCAAGGTGTGCTTTTTACAATACTGCCCAGTTAATGGATAGCACGATGCTGGAATTTGATTCAATCAGTGTACTCCAAATAATTGGGATAAGATTTTGTTTAGTTAAGTTGAGTTGAATATGTTGATTGTAATATGAATTTGGTTGGCTGAATCTAAATTGTGGGGAATTTCTTTTCATTCCACAAATGTGAATTTGGTTGGGTCAAAGTGGTTGTAGGAGATATTCCAAGGATAGTCATGTCTAATGGTATTTAACATAGTTTTAAAACCCGGCCCGGACATCATCTCAGGGAAGAGACCGAGTCAATGGGTCACTAGTCGAAATGGTCATATAATAAAAAAATAAAAATAATTATAAATAAGCTAAAAATCACAACAATTATGAAAATAGAATGCTTAATGTATATTAAATCAAACAAAACCCCCAAAATCATCAAACGTATATATCCAATGTATTCAATTTCATATACAACTTGTAAAGTTAAGCATCAAAACCATCTCCTCACAATTAACTAAACTCCACAATGAATTAAAATAGGCCAAAATTTATACAAATAACAAATCAACTAATTCTGAAAAATAACAGCAGAAGCAAGACTAGCAGACAAAAAGAGAGAGAGAGAAAGAGAAACGCAATACTTGATGAGCCAAATATCTGTTGTAGTGCTGTGAGCTTGTGAGTCGAAGAATCCAAGCTGAAAAACCTCGAAGAAGCTGAGTCGAAAAATCTCGAAGAAGTTGGGTCGAAGAATCTGAGCTCTCAAGTCTTTGAGTCTTCGATTGAGTGCATGTGTTATTGTGTTGAGAGAGAAAGGGAGAGAGAGAGGGGTGGGGTAATCAGTGAGGACTAGTTGCCTACAGGAGTCATGAAGAACAGGAGTCATGGAGAAGTAGAGTTGTAGAGGCAAAGATAAAAGAAATTGGGCAAAAATGCCCTAGCACTTGTTTTTAAAGCATTTGACTTAAACTTTCCAGTTTAGAACAAATCATTCGGTTCAACGATTTTGTTACATAACCGGCCGGTTCAACGGGTTTTATTCGGTTCTTTTGCTTGAACGATCCAATAGCTAAACCGGCCTTGTTCAGACTTCGGTTCATCAGATCAACTCGTCGGGCCGGGTTTTAAAATATTGGTATCTAGTCCTTTGACATGCACAATTGCATCAATTGTGTTTCACACAAATAAGGACACTTTGATTGCTGAGTAGTGCTACATGGGAGATGAATGGGAAGCTGGAGAAGTTGAAGTTATTGTCACTACATTTGACCTTGGTTAGGGTTTTAAAGTATCGGTCGAGTTTAGGTTGACGCGGCTTAGTCGTATTCGCCTCAACTCATATCGGAATAATAACGATAAACGTTACACAAATATAACGAGACTTGACTAAATCGGTGTTGACTCTGATGTGATGCAATAGTATTAACCCAACTTGGAGTCAAATCGGGATGTCTCGGCCAAGTCAGATCGAGTCAACACTGTGTGCTGCTAGTTGATCTATAAAATATTAGTCAAGCAGCAAAAAGGAACCCAAAAATAAGGGAAGAAAAAGAACAATATTCAAATACATGAATTTGGTTTATAAATCACATATTTTTGGCATCATAGAAAACATGAGAAAGAATTGAACTGATATGTAAGCAAAATCTGTAGAATTGAACCGGGGATCCTTTTCTTCTTCTTTTTTTGTCTTGCGAAAGGAGCAGTAGCCTAGCCTAGTCGTTTGCCACTAACAGTCTTTGTTGAAGATTTTCTCTCTCTCTCTCTCTGTGATCAATTGTCCTCACCTCAAATTCTCTCTCTCTCCCTCCCTCCCTCCCTCTCCCTCTCCCTCTCATCAGGTCTACGAGTGTATACGGTTTGGTGTTACAAGGCATTATAAATGTAACAATAGGGTAAGCATAATAAATTATATATGCGTCATGAGACTGTCGGTTGGGTATTGGGAGTATATAATATCCGAAGGCGGAGCCAAAAAAATGTTTCAGGGTGGGCACTTTAACACGTTTTATCCTAATTTATAAAAAGAAGATGACACATTTATACTATTTATTTCATCAGTGATCCTTAAAAATTTTATGCGTACGTGTGTACAATAGAAAAAAAAAATTAATTATAGTCTTTTATTGAAAATGAGGTTAATTGTAGTTAGTTACAATTGACCTAATAAATTTTTATAATTTGATAGCTTTTTCTGATGATTTCATTATTAATGACTAATAAAATTAATGCCAAAATTACAGATATTTACATTAAAGGATATATCACATTTTTTTGTTTTAAAATTTTGTAAGCAAGTTCACAAATCTCTGCCAAGTTTTAAACTCGATGCTAAAGTGCACATTAGTAATAAATGGTCAAGTTGATCAAAAGATTTTAAAATGAACACAATATGTCCAAACTAATCTGAATATGTACGAAGTGTGTTCATTGTTAATCATTTAAGTACGAGTGTGTACTAATTGATATGGTAAGAAAATAGAGTAATGCTATAGAGATTTAATTTGAGGATCTAATTCAATATAACCATTGGATTAGTTGTGAGGTCTAAAATTAAATGAAACCCACTTCTAATCTAATGACTATATTAGATTAGAGCAATGCTAGAGGGACCTTATTTAGGGACTTTATTTAGGGATCTAATGATGTGATTTCAGTGCAACAATTGAATTAATTGTGAGTATCCAAATAATGTCCAAATAGCATTTTTCATTAGATTAAGTCTTCAAATTAAATCATCAAATTAGGCCCTAATAACATTTTCTAAGAAAATAATAGGGTGGACATAATTAAATGTACTTCAAAAAATATAATGCGTAATGGCAAGACAACAAAATTGAGGGTGGGCACTTGTCCTTGAGTGGCTCCGCCAATGATAATATCTACAATAAATTCTATTTAACTAATATACTTTCTTTTTACATAATTTAGAAATCTATAATTTACACACACTATATGCTTCCATTAAGTTAACATTATTTTTTGGTACTTTTATATTTTGAAAAATTATAAAAATAACACTGATTATGATTAGGATATGTTTTTAAATATTTATATTGACCATTGATGATGATAAATATTTTCAACGGCGCCTTTATGATTTATTTTCACTATGGCTAATTCATGGATGTTGTTTATACTTTTAAAATTTTTGATGATTTTTTCAGGGTTTTTTGGGCATTTATCTAGCATTTTGGGCATATCGACCGATACCCTATTGCAACACCACGACCAATGTGTATCAGTACCATCCAAGTTGGTGGCTGATATTGTGACACCTTGATGAATTTGTCCATGGAGACCAATTTTGCACCAATTTGTTTTAAATATGATTTGTCTGAACTCTGATAGCAAAAAAACATTAGTTTGACTCGGGGAGGGACATCTATGATCCTTGATGGCATGTCCGGGATAAGGCAAAGTTTTGGTGTTAGGTCTTGTGTATTCCATCGTGTAACTGCAATACAAGACTATCACTATTCGAGTTTGTGTAAGTGTGAGCTTAAGAAAGTATTCTAGGGGCTTTCTCACAAATCAGGGTTATTTTTCTTTTTTGGGCATGGTTTTATCGGTATGTATTCAGTAGCAGCTTCAATTAACATGTGTTCCGTTGTCCACATGGATACAATACCAGTTTTATGTGTTGTATCGGTTCTTTGTACTGTGAAGATTATTCTATAGCATCTGTGATATGTTTTATGCTGCTTAGAAATGTGATTTTTGCATTTTGTATAAATTGTAGGCATCTGTATGATTTACTTTTTTTGCTGATGAGAAGCAACAGGTTCTTGCCCCACAGATTATTATTGATACTGGCTTGACTTTTGGAATAGGAAGGTTATGAGTATGAAGAACCCAATGGTTTTCTTGGATGTGTCCATTGATGGTGATCCCATTGAAAGAATGGTTTTTGAGGTACCATAAGTTGTACTTGATGACTTGAGTATTTAATTTTGTATCAAGAAAAGTATTTTGTGATTTTTTTATATGTGTAATTGATGCTTCATTTATGTTCTTTACTTCTGAAGCCATACTTGTTTCTACTTTTTGATCATCTGGTATGATGTTTCTTCATTCCTCAATGCAAATGTGGATAGTAATTTCTTGTTTTGTGACTTGCAGCTTTTTTGTGATGTTGTTCCCAAGACTGCAGAAAATTTTCGTGCACTTTGTACTGGTAATATGTTCTTCTGTAATTGGTAGTAATTTGTTGGAACCTATGAAACAAGGATACTTTGTTAAGGTTGACGTATCTGTATCGGATACCGTATCGAATATGATACTCGTCCGATATGTATCGGATACACATCAAACATATCTAATAATAAATAAAATATATGAAAATTTCACGGATATTTTGATATATAGAGAAGTATGTGTAATTTTTAGTTTTAATCTTTACGCCTTACTTTTGATTTCACATATAATGCAATAAATTAACAAAAAATTATATGATTTGGAAGACATATGAGTGTTTTCTAAGTATTATACATTATCACATATTCAAAGAGTTTAAATAAGTTGATTACTCTTTAATCTTAGGAACAAATACTTCTAAGATAATAATATAGTTAAATGTTGATTTTTATTCTTTTAATTTATCACGTTCACTTTGTAGATGTATCATAATAAAAAATTGTTAATGTTGTTTATTATTGTTAAAAAATCATTAAAAATTATAGCTACTAAGTCATTGCATAATATTAAAAATATAAAATATATATTTATAGACGTATTTCGGCCGTACCCGTATCTTATTTATTGGGATTTTGTCGTATTGCAGTATCCATTTCTATGCTTCCTAGGTTGGAACCTTTCTCCAGTAATATTACCAGTCTATTGGGTTCATCCAACACACACACACACCAAAGCGGCAGTTGTGGGGTGGGGGGCCGCTGCCCATAAATTTTGTACTCGTGTACCTGCTGTTTCAATTCTTATAAAAATAGTTTCTGTGAACCCTAGCAAGTCAGAATTTTGAATTTTGTTTTGATGGAAAATAGGCTGCTGATCATGTAGTGTAAAATTTTCACTTCTTTTTTCACCTTATCTTTGGAAGTCAATTCCTATTTTTGACTAAAATGGATCATTTAGTTCCTCTCTATTTTTAAATTACTTTCAGGGGAGAAGGGAAACAGTCTGAAAACTGGAAGACCCCTACACTATAAAGGAACCTTTTTTCATCGCATTGTCAAAGGAGCCATGGTTCAGGTATGTTCTTTAATCTTTTACTTGCATTAACCTTTTCTCAAGTATATAAATTCAATACCTCTCATTCCCTCTGTGCTTAGTTTTCTGGTTGAGCATGATTTAGAAGTGGCCTTGTCTTTTAGTCAGCTATCCTTGTTTATGCTGTAGGATACAGGGCTGATGGTCACGACTGCTTTTCTTGTGATGTAGTTTTAAGGTTGTACTTACTTAGTTGTCCTCCTCAAGTTACTAATCTTTGCCACACTTGGCCCATTTTTGTGCAAAGCATTTCCCTTCCTGAGTACAAGAGGTTTAACAGCTTGTATCCATTTTGCAGGGTGGCGATTTACTTAGACGAGATGGTATGCATTCTTTGGCAATCATTTTCATTCATGCACTTTGAAATCTTATCATTTTCATGGTTGCAATTTTGCTGCCCGTTATGGTTCTCATTTATGTAGTGTATTCTATCTGATGCTCATCTCATAACCATCAAATTAGTGAATTAGATTGGTAATTTATTTTTTCAAACCGTGAATATCTGCAACTTCTGTACATATATTAGTCACGTCTGGCAGTCAATGTTGGGTTAAATGGGGACGTCTTCTAATGGCCCTAAATGCAGGAAGCAACATGTTTGAAGTCCTCCTATAAGAGCTGGATCATCTCCACTGGGGGATCTTCAAGCATCTGAACATGCTAAGAATGTGTGTTGTGTCTTCTCCCTGTCATCTGGAATTTGTATTTTTCTATTTTTTGTTTTTATTTTTTTTCTTTATAACAAAATCTTTGTTTCCTCTCTAAACAAAAACGTGTCTTCTGTGGTTGCGTTACATCTTTGGCATATGTCTGCATTGGACTTACTTCTGCTTTGTCTCAATTAATTTGTCAAAATCTTGTAATGCTGAACCAACTAAATAAAGTGTTGGAGTTTTCGACGACTTCTGCAGTACCAAATAGAGTTCCACGAGCTTTTCCTCAAACCCAGCCTCTCCCAAATCTTTATTCTCAAACACAGTTTGTTTTAAACTTATTTCCCAAACTCGGTCTCTTTTTAAAAACGTCATTCCAAATGATGCCATTATGGGTTAAATGTCATTTGAAATGACGATTTCATGAATTTTTTTTATTTAAATTGTCATTTGGAATGATGTCTTTATAGGTGTCCGTGAGAATGACGTCAAAAAAAATGAATTGAAAATGACAACATAACAGATGTTAGAAAAAATTGGTGGGTAAAAAACGTTATTTAGAATGACATTTTTTGCGACTTTATAATCAGACCCCAACTTTCCCAAATCACAAAATGTGTTTGATGGTCTGGGATTTTTGGCAAAAACCTGTTCTGTCATCCGGGTTTTGTTCTACTAGTGTTTCATGATCGAGTTTTTCTCTAATTCTGTGTAATATTTTAGGGTTTGGGTCTCACGAGGCTTCTGTGATTTGGGTTCGACAGTATGATGAATTGGGTTTTGGCGAGTGAACGTTCACTGATTTTGGGTGATTTGTTGTTGTATTAAACTCGGAATTGCTCACTGGGTTCTGAGCAAAATTTGAGTTTGGACTGGTGCCTGGTGAGTTTTGGGTGGATTTCAATAGAAGCTTGAAATGTTTGGCATTGTGCAATTACTTGCCTTTGGAAACTGGTTGATATCTATGTTTGGGCCAGCGGTGTTGGACGAATTCAAAGTTTGGGATAATACTTTTGGTGGATTGGAAACCAATTTCATTTGTTTATAGATTTGGCTTTGGTTATAAAATTGAAACAAGTCACTGTCGATGTGTATTTTGAGTATCAATTGTGAGAATCTTGGTGAAATTTATCAACGGAGATTGCACATTTTGATGACATTTTTAAACTTTCTTCATGAAATTGGATACTGATTTGATGGAGACAACATCACCACCTCCAAATTCTTCACCCTCTGCTGTCCCACCAGCATTAACTACTCCTCCACCAGGCCCTCCAACTCAACCATCTTCTCTGAAACGCCTTCGAGGAGACCAAACATGGCTGATGTTGTTCAGATTCTTGAGTCCATCAGGAATGGATTGCAACCATAGCAAGGGAATTCGAGGGTTGTTTTTGGCCTGTCTCAGAGTTGGGGTTATAAAGTCGCAAATTGTAAATGACGTTTTTTGCCCACTAATTTTTTTTAACGTCTGTTATGTTGCTTTTTTTAACGTCATTCTCACTGACGCCTTTAAAGACGTCATTCTAAATGACGATTTAAATAATAAAAAATTCAATTTGAAATTGTCATTTCAAATGACGTTTTAACCCATGAAGGCGTCATTTGGAATGACGTTTTTAAAAAGAGACTGAGATTAGAAAATAAGTTTAAATCAAACTGGGTTTGGGAATAAAGATTTGGGGGAGGCTGGGTTAGGAGAACAGCTCAGATTTCCACTGTGTGTGGATGACTGCTTGCTATGGGAACAGGGTCGCTGTTATGCATTTTTATGTTTCTTCTGTAAAGAGGCTTGAATTTTAACCCCAGTTCGAATCACCAGCCTCCATTAGGATTTCACTCATTGACCTTCTTAGTTCTTCTGATTTTATATCCCATTCTAGCTGGTCGCATGAGTTTTCCCTTTGCCCTGGTGTCAACCAACAAACCACAGTTGCTTTCCTGTTTTCCGTGAAAGTCCCTCCCTGATTATCCCTCGTCCATCTGAAGAGGCTTGAGCTTTCCTTGTCTTGGATGCTGATTTATGTACATTTGTCCAGAGTCTACCTTCTTCTCTTAATAATCTCCTATCGGCTTTTGCTAGCAGAGCTGCATTTTATTTTCTGTATGTTCTCAGACAAAGTTGTCCTCTTTTTAGTTGTTGATGTAGCAGTGTCCCCAGTTCATAAGGGGAACCCCCGCCTTTTATGGACCATTTAACCACATGAACTCCCTATTGAGTTTATCTAGATGGTTGCAAGTATTTTTCGGAAGCCAAACAATTTGCATAATATATGCAGGGAGAGCTGAGGTGATTGACTGGGTGAATGCGTCTCTTCCAGCTAGGCCTAGCCTAGCCTATTTGCTTTCTTTTGTACTCTGTTGGCAGTGTACCTTATGTTTTCTTGATGATTCTAGAGTGGATATCCCACACATCTGTTTGATCCCTCTGGTATTATGGGTTGGGGTTCTGGGAGATGTGGCAAATCCCCCTTTCCCGAGGGGTTCAAAATAAAAAAAGGAGTAAAATGGCCACCACCCAACCCCGCCTCCTACTATGGTGTCCTCTTGATTACACTCTTTACTTATCCTATATCATTTGATTACCTTTTAGAAAATGGTCCATTAGCTAGTGTTCGGCATATATATGTAAAACCTGACATTATTATTTGCCGAAAATGGCTCTTGGACCAGAACCTGCAGTCTCATCATAGGTAGCCAATGCATTTTAAGTTTTAACCTACGGCTCCTGAGATTGATGGTATGTACCTCATAGAGTTGGTGCAGATTGTTTTTCAACTTGAAAAGGACTAACTATTGGGGTGAGGCCCGGATAAAATCCCTTTTTGACAAAGTATACTCGAATAAAATCCTGAATTGAGCTTGACAATGATTGTAAGAAAATGCAAAAACCATTGTGCACACATGCCTGGGGCAAAAGTTGATTACATTTGGACCTATAGCATGCATGCTTTAAATTATTAACCAAATAAATTTAGTTGATCTACTGTGATTTTTCAGTTTATTTCTGAAGCTAAACGGGTTAACCAACGTGATCATACTTGGTTCAGATTGTAGTATTTTAAATATATGGTTTGAAAGATTAGACTCACTGGTCACAGGATTGCTGAGATTCTTCTTTCATTGACTTCTATTCTCTCCTTTTCAGGGGCTTATGGAGAAAGCATATACGGGGGAAAGTTTCCAGGTGAGAATATGTTCATGTTATTGTGGCTTTTTGTGTGGTTAGATCTTGATGGCCATTTGCTGATGCTTACTTTGAGTAATCGATGGACTAGACCTGCATCATTATTTGTGGAGCTTGGTTTGGATAATTGATCACATAAAGCATTCCTATTCATGTGTATTTTCCCTGCAAGTCATTTGTATCTTGAGAGCAAATAGGCTTCCTTTTGAATTGCCTGTGAAGGTGGTGGCTGGTTTTTTGATCTTATTCTTGCTGCATGGGAACTTCGATCGAACATAAATTGCACTATTGTAGCTCTATCTCGTACACGGTGGGGTATATGGCTGCTACATCAACTTGTGCATATGGTACTCTTTGGTTTTGGATTGGTATCTCGTATCCTTACATGTGCTTGACATGCTGTTTAACCATGCATTTTTTTCCTTCTTTAATTGGTGGTGTAGTTTTTGTCATATTACTATATAGTGAATTTGGAGTTGTGAGAAAAATAATGGTTGACGAAGGTCATAATGCTCGGTCAGCATTTTAAGACAGAAAAGTCAATTCTTACTGTTCTGATTGTTGGAGTATAGTAATAATTTTTTTGGGGTTGTACTTAATAAAATGAAGCTTAAATTGTGAATGTTGGTCGATGTGTGGCTTTTACACATTGAGGTTACAGTGTAACTCAAATCTTTGAGCCTATGCAACTAGATTAGCTATACAAATCAGACTTTATTGAGCTGTATTTGCTTGCTTGTGTGCATTCATATGCATTGTTTGGAAGTTGGTGTTTGATGACTCTACTATGATGTAGCCATTGCTGTTCTTAGCTCAATATGGTGGTACGTTGTGGTACACCTTTCTCCCAAACATGTAGTAGATGGGGTGTTGGTGCATGGAGCTACTTAAATATGTTAAACAAGTGGCTTCAATTGATTCAAAAGACACTGCTAGAATATAGTCGGTTGCGAAATGCTCTGCTCTTCTTGGGAGTATATTTCTTTTATTATTTTCTCTTCTTGGGAGTCTATTTTCTTGTGGTCAATGAGTGTAATTGGTTTTTGCCATGCGATGCTCGTTCTATATATATAAAGGGAAAAATGAAGGTCATATGTGCTGTTATTAATTTGCTTCATGTTGATTCTCTGTTATGTGTTATATATGTTTTTTTGAATATAGGAACTTCTGTGGTTATTGTTCAATGAGTATCTTTAAGTAGTAGACTTAAAAATCTCAGGTTTAAATTTGATTGGGCAAATTCTACTTTACCCTATCATGGTTTTTGGCTATGTAGTACTTTACTTACTCATGGTTCAAACAGTATAACCCTCGTTCCATTTCAGACCAATATGCATTAGTTAACTCAGCGAAAAGAACAGACAAATGACGTTAATAGTTAAATACCCATTTTTGGGGATGCTTTTTTGCTCTCTACACAACTTTGTCATTCTACTGTGTATAGTAGAAGAAGGAGATCTGAGCAAGTTCTTAGATTGATTTTTTTTTATTTTCTTAAGAGAGCCGAGGATGGACTTAATTATAATTTCACCAAAAGAAACAAGAAGGTAGTTTTCGTCTCAAGTAGTGTACAAGTAGCCACGGCTGAAACTTGTAAACCACAGCTGAAAGAAACAGCAATATACACGCATACAACCCTCATAACATCAAATCCGATGGTTCCTCCTCTCAACTTGATGTTGAGAACAAATTAATTTTTGAAAATCAGCAAGAATCACAGGGATTCGCTGAAAGCCATGGTACACAACATAAATTTGAAGAAATTTAAGGGCAAATCCTTCCAAATACCTGCAAAATCTACCGACTGAAAAGTAGCAAATCGACTGACTGCCATGAAGAAACCATGTAAACAGAACTCAAAATCTGCTAAAAGTAAGCAGATCCAAATAAAAATTTACTCACATTATTTACACCTTCAATCTTAAATAGAACTATACAATAATCTCTTGAAGGCTCCAAATTCTGTCGAAACACGAACTAGGAGGAGAAAATCGATATGCATGTAGGGCAGAAGCTGTATGTACAATAATTGATCAAAAAGCTCCACATATTCGATTACGTGAAATTTCTGGTACGGCTAGGTTCAAAACTCGGATGGGGTGATTCCTTTTAATATAGTAAAAAGCCCTAGAGTAGTTTTGCCTTAGTGCTCTTGGGAGCACATTAGATGTGGAAAAGATTGAGGGTTTTGGTTGAAGCTGCAAAAACGTTCTAGCCAAATTTTAGCATCAAGTCAACACGGTGCCGGTCAAACTCAAGACTGAGTTGGCTGGAAATTTGTAGGTGAAAAAAACTTTAAGTGCATTGTTGATGATGACATGATCAAAAAAAATTGTGGATTTTGGGGCCTATTGCAACTAAGAATAAAGGGAAGAAGCTAGGGTTTTAGGTGGATGAAGTACAAATACGTTGAACAATAAAAATTAAAGAACATTTTGTCTTCTCAAAGAATTTAAAATGCGATTTTCCAAATCTTTTTAGCATTAAGTTGGAGTAGGAAGCTTGTGGTCCATGCTAAGTCATGAATTTAGTGCATGTGTCATACTTACCATCAATTCGGAGGACCATCTCAATTTAATCCAAAATCACATTAATGTCATGTGGTTATTTTGGAACAATAGGTAGGTGAAGTGCTATAGGGTCAAACCACAAGGTGGTGAAATATAATTTTCCCCTTTTGATTGTATTGCCAAGGGTTTGGGTATGGCCTTATTCAGATCCTTGCTATAGTTTTAGGTCTAGCATATGAAAACTTTTTATGTAAGTGAGATTTAAGTTTATGTACTACCTAGCCGTTTAATCTTTTTTTTTTTGGATAAAAGAAGAATATTATTATAGAAAGGAATAAATAAACATAATACAATGTTGTGTTGAGGACAATATATCCTTAGCACAAGTAAAGTAAAAATAACATAGGGAAAAACTCCAAAAAATAGAAAATAAAACTAATGTAATGCCGCTATCCAATTCCTTTGAAGATCTGACAAAGACATCTGTCTAAATTTTTTGTGGCTTTGGTCTAAAGTGAAGCCATAAAAACTAATCGCTCCCATGCTAAATCAAAAGGAAGAGAACGATTATTTAAATTCTAGCATTTCTCTCCACCAAATACACCAAAGAATTGCTATGATCACACAATGGCATAGTACTTTAGCTTCCTTTTTCTTTTCAAAACTCCAAAATCTCAAAACTTAATCTGCAGCATCTGCTCCACTGTAGAAGGGCACACTCAAGCTTCACCAATCAAACTGAATAATGTATTCCACAAGGTCCATGCAAAACCATAGTGAATAAATAAATGAGCATATGATTCTCCACTACTCAAACAAGACAAATGTCAAGGCTCAATGTTTTATAGGCCTCCGAACCTGTAGCAAATCGTTAGTGTTCACCCGATTAAGGACAATAGTCCAAACAAAAGCCTTAATATTTTTTTTTGGGGGAAACTTTGGCTTGTCAAATAAATTTGGCTAAAGAGAAAGAGTCATTTTTTTTTTGGAACTAACAAGATGTGAATAGAAAGATTTGCATGAAATGATCTTAGATTTATCCAATGTCTAGATTCTACTATCACGAGAAGGACAAGGTTGGAAGTCACTTGGAATGTGAAGCAAAGAAGTTAGATCAATTGCTTCCCCGTCATTAAGATGTCTAAAGAAATGAAAATCCCAAGAACATAAGCTCGTCCCTATGACAATAAAAGAGGAAATAGGAGCCTCATGGGGTGAGGATAAACACTAAAGATGGGGAAAGATATTATGAAATGATGAATCCCCAATCTATACATCCTCTCAAAATAGAACATTTGATCCATCTCCAACTTTATATCGAGTCAACAGAAGAAAAGAAGGGTAATCACGTGAAATGAACTTCCAGCGACTCATGTGGATAACGTTATTCCTTGACTTAGTATCCCCTCCCATTCCTCTGAAGACCATAGTTTCTCCTAATTGTCTTATACCAAGGGAAGTCAAGTTCTAACGGGAACCTTTATAACCTTTTTCGTACAAGGGAAATGTTTTTAGACACCAAGTTCCCCAGTTCTAATTCCCTTTCATCTATGGGCTTACAATTTGTCTCCCAACTCACTAAATGATCTTGTTTATCATCTTCCATCCCAAACCAAAGAAAATCTCATCATCTTCTCTAAACTTCTAGTTACTGCAGCAAGGATTCTAAAGAGTAATAAATAGTACAAAGGGGTGCTAGACAAACATAATGCAATCCTTTCTCCAAGGAAAAAATATGCCATTTTTTAACCATCTAACGTTTTGCACACCATTTCAACTACTGGATTCCAAACATACAATGATCTCAGATTCCCCCCCTCTCCAACACAACAGTAACCTTAGCTATATCATAAGCCACTCAAACTGAACAACACACCTTTAATGCCAAAATCTCTGACAACCTCCTCCTCCAAATTGATGCCTATAACACCACTTTTGGACATATTAATTTTCAAAACCTTAATTAGTGAAAGCTCGTTTTGAAGACACTCTTTTATCTGATAGGAAAAAATTTGTGTCATCTACAATTGCAAATGCGATACAGTTACATCCTAACCAGCCACCCTCAAACTCTCTATCATCCTACTTCATTTGCTTGAATTATCATCTAGCTCAAGAGATCAATCAACAATGTGAATATAAAAGGAGAAAAAGGATCTCCTTACCTACTGTTTAATCCTTTGTGAGGCCAACACTATAGCACACCAATAAAGGGAGGTCCAATACACGAGTCGCTTGCCATGGTGAAATTTGCACTATGATGCATCAATAAAAGACAACGTAATGCACGAAGATTGGAGTTTGGAGAGGGTTAGATGCACGCAACTTTATATCGAAGGGCAGGTTTTGTGACTGGAACCTTTGATGCCTATGTCACAATGGAGCAACTTTACTGAGTCAAGGATTGCCCTCTTTGTGGCTAATCAGTTCTGCTCACCAGTCTGGTGATTAGTACTTTGGGTCATAGTTGTCAAATCGTGTATCGGAAGGCGTATCGTTTTTTAAAAAGTGTATCATATCATATTGTATATCGTGTATCGTAAGATACGTGCAATTTTAATTTTTAAATAATTGTTAATAAAATATATGTATATACCTTTGTAAAAAAGTCATAGACTCATAATAATATAGTATTTTATTAATATTTCACTAACCATTCAAGTTCCCAACATAGTTAAGTAATATCAAAATGCAAAGACCTCTAATTCAAACTTTTAGTATCAACTGCTTGAGCAATCTTAATATTAATCAGGAATTTTGAATTCAATCGAACAATATTAATAGCAGACTTTATTTATTTTTTTTAAACCATAACCATTGAAACGACGTTGTTTCATTAGCTAGTGATTTAAAAATAAGTCTTACGGTAAAACGATGCCATTTCAACCCAAAAAAAAAAAAAAAACCACAATTGTCATGTATCGGGCTTATCGTTTCGTATTGTACGATACGGTGTAAAAACGATACAGAGACACGATACATATCATTTTTCAGGTGTATCGTGATGTATCGTACGATCCATATTGCGTATCGTACGATCCATATTGCGTATCGTACGATACTAATAACTATGTTTTGGGTTAATTGTGGTCAACAATAGTTACCGCCAGGAGAAGCTGTCACCATGAGACCACCTTTACCGCCAGTATGCTGTTGGTAGTACAAACAATTCCCACCCTTTCTGCAACACAAACACAACCTGGGCTGCATTTCTGTTTTCTCTGCCTCTGCCGTCATCTCTATTATGGAAACCATTAACCCCATTGCTGCATCGGCTGTTCGCCAAACATCCATAGCTGGAAGCCTGGAACATTTTTGCTGTTGGCAGTACCAACATTTCCTACTTTTTCTCTAACACATACATACATTCTGTTCTCTGTCTCTACCAAAATCCCTATTGTTGAAATCATGAACACAATTGCTGCATCAACTGTTCAGCAGACATCCACAGCTGGACCTTTTCTATTTCTGTTGTCTATAACATCATTGCTGGCAACAAACTTACCTGCTGCACGAATTGTTGCACCTGCTGCCACCATTGGGAATGTTTGTCACCAGTCTCAGCAATACTGTCTTGTAGTTTCACTGTTGCTGTATTGCCACCAACACTTGGACAGTAGCTGCTATTTATTCACCTTAATGTGTTTCATTCACAAAGTGAGCAAATTGCTAGTACAGATCTTGTAGAAATGTAGGAAATGTGGTCTTGCCCTTTCTTTTCCACCTAGTAATCTGACGAGAGTAGGGGCAATAAAAACCAGAAAAATGCCAGGAGGATCTGAAACACCCCAAAGGGAACTTCTTGGCCCAAACCATCAATAACGAAGAAGGGCTAAAGGTTTGAAAAGTCATCAGGTTTGCTCGCCTCTTGGATGCCACTGTTTAAGACCTCAAGATTTTACTGTTTACAGACCTCTCTTCGATGGATAGTGTCCCTTTCATTCCAATCCATTTGATTCCGATCATTTGTGTCATAGATAATGTCCTGATTTGGTGTGGTTGTTAATAACAAGCTTTGTATTGCCCTGCATTGCTTTCGGGGAGCAACGTATGTAGTCTCATTTCTTAATTTCGTTTGAATTGAGAAGTGTCTGATGTAAACATGCTATATGTAAACAAGGTTTCTTAATTTATTTTATCAAGAGAGGAGTAATCAGTGGTATTTGTGATATGTTTTAGATGAATCCCCCAAGCTGAAGCATGATGGTCCTGGTCTTCTGTCAATGGCGATTGCTGATCGCGATACACATGGTTCTCTGTTCAATATCACCTTCAAGGCTAATCACCATCTTGACAGGTTTTTTTATATGTTAGTTGCTACAGTACTTCAAATTACTTACATGGAAGCTACTTGGAATAATGTTGACTTGAACATCGGTCATCATTCTAGATGTATTTTCTAATTATTGTTCCTATGTTGTTTTATTTCGCCTGATACATGAAAAAATTTCTATCTTCCTCAACTAATGGACATCTCCTTAACAGGAAATATGTAGTTTTTGGGAAACTCGTTCGAGGACATGAAGTTTTGAAAAAGATTGAAAATGCTGGCAATGAAGAAGGGAGACTGGATGTAACTGTGAAGATAATTTATTGTGGTGAAATTCATGAGGCCGAGAATCCGAGTGCTGCTTTGTTGCAGAGTGGTATCATCTTGTTATGAAATATTATTTTGTTAATTTTGGGGTTATACAGTTTCTTTAAAGTAAAATTTAGCTTTTTTGCTTTTGCCATTTATGATTTTTGTTATTGATTTTGTTGTTTTTGTTGTAGACAAAAGGAAAGTGAATAAACTGAAAATGGGGACGGATGCTTCTTCTGAGGCAAACAGCCATGAAGCACGAAACAGGGAAAAGCACAGGAAGTCCTTAAAAGAGAGAAGGAAGAAGAGAAGATATTACACATCTGAATCAGATACTTCCTCGGATACTGAGACTGAATTATCTGAATCTGATACTGATTCTGACTCGTATATCTCTTCATCAACTGACATTAGCTCTTCAAGTGATGACAGGCGTGGCAAGAAAAAGAAATCTTCTAAGAGGGATAAATATAGACGTGGAAAAAAGAGGGATAGACGCCGGGAAAAAAAGCGGAGGAGGTACAATAAGAGATCAAAACGCAGATCAAAAAGGTTGTATTGGCATTGTTGATTATTATCTATTTCTGTTGTTTGTTTCTTACATAGTTTCAGGTTATTTGTGCATTTTCCCTAGTTTTATTTTTTTTGGCTATATTAACCTGGGAGACTGTAAATCGTGTGTTCTTTTTTGAAAATGTGTTGTTTGACTTATTGGCCTAGCTGGAACTTTTGCTTGGAAATGCGTACATACGTTTTTAGAAACAATACCATGGTAACCTTGTTGATCACATCACCTTTGTCAGTGGAAAACGATTTTCATTTACTTGGCAGATCAGCAACTGAAACCCAGTCAACCACCCATGCCTTTCTGCTACACAATTAAATTACAACAACTCATTGTAGAGAATATTGAAATTTAACAGCATGTGACAAAAATTGACACATATTGTCAGTCAGCCCTGTTTTTCTATCTATCTCCTGATGCTGGGAGAAGGAGAGGTTATAACTATTACTTATCCTATGTTTGAAACAAATACAAAATTGCATGTCACTTTGGCTCTTCTGGTTCTGTTTAGGCCATCTGATATTGATTAAAACTGCTGTCTTCCATGGAGGATGTATAGACCATGAATACGAATGTGAGAGAAAATGATGCAGGCTTTCATCTGGTGTTCGATATATTCTTTCTCTCTTCCTATTAATATTGTCTGATTGTCTTTATTATAATTTATTTAGTCTTTGTGCATGTGCATGCCTGTGTTTGTTGTCTCTCCCCTCCCTTGTTTCTTACTCTTTGGTGTTGGAGGATGGATTAGACAAACTGCTGGGATTTTATAGAAGCAGCATTTGTGATTATCTGCCATCTTCTGAGGACAATATTAAGTCTCTTTCAGTTCCACTGTTAGCTTTATCTTTGGTGTCATGCTTAGTTTCTGTTTTCTGTAATATTGTACAGGGCCTTGGATGGTCTTTCTGAGAGTGGGAGTGAAAGTAGCTCTGAAGATGATGTTGGAAGGCTAGGTCCAAAGCATAAAACCTCAGCTAATAAGACAGCTGGTATGACTGAATCCATTTTATGGTGTATCTGCCTCATACTTTTTAATGATTTTTTACTTTCCAGCTCTCTCTATTTTATACATGTATTATACCCTTTTGTGTATATCTTTGGATGTGTATTTGTCATTTTTTTCTTTGATGGCTGGGCCCCTCATTTCTTGTGCTTTTGGAGTGTTCAGGGTCCTACCATATGAGTGATATCGTAGAGTTTATATTCTTGAATGCATGCTAGTTACCGGGTATTTGACACATTATGTCACTTACAAATTTATCTATGACCCTATACCAGTGGGTGACCACACCCTCTGCTTGTGTTCCGCGCTGCATTATTTTTTTTCTTTGCTTTTGTGGGTGACTATGTCCCCCTAGCCATGTGGTTATTCTTTTGGTTAATGTAGGTTATTTCTTTCCACACTCCCACCCTACCGGCACTTGCCATTAAAGGGAGTAAATTGTGTAGAGGCCTTATGTGCATCATGCACCAGCATTACATTACTAAAAGGAAATTTCTCTATTACTTCAATGCCTATCTGGTTATGCTGTTTTGATTACCATTTTGATTGTATCATGATTGAATATAACTCTACACACTAATGCATTTAAAGGACTGCTGTTTAATTTTTGTGTTTGTTATGACTGTTGTCATGCTTTGAATGTGATATGTTATTCTCTTGTTGCGCAGATTTCTAAAATGTGTACTTACATCAATAATGCATGCTTCTGCAATTTTGTTACCTTTGTGCAGTTGGAGATCAGTCTCTTCTAGTTCAGGAGAAGGAAGCTGCTTCCAGTCATTATAAAAATCGGGAGGCGAGTGTTATGCTCGAAAGGGAAGAGGGAGAATTCTCCAAGGAAAATGGAGAGCACCAGAGCAACAGGATTGAAGTGGGAACCGGTTCGGACAAGAGTGCAGATAGACAACCTGATGTAGTAGATGATCACCCTGGGAAATCTAGGTTCACTTTCCATTCTTCTCGCAACTCAGTTATTCTTTATGCTTACCGATTCTTCCAGATCTGGTATTATATAAAAAGTTGATGAGCAGGCCGAAGCATAAGTCCTAAAAGGACCATGAGTAAGAGTATGAGTATTAGTCCCAAGCAGAATTGAGCAAGAATCAAAGTGAGTAGCTCCAAAAGGAGTGTTAGCAT